TGACTAAAATATCACAATAAAGTGTAATATTGCGCATGTAAGCGATATTAACACCAGTTTTGCGAGTAACCACCTCGTGTGACCATATTTATACAGCTTGCCAGCGGGGTATCTTAGAAAAACTACAAATAAAAACATTTGCGCGCTGACGGTACCGCGTAATAGTCTAGTACAGACGGCAGTTAAACTGGCGTCTTATGTCGTAGGAATAGGGGTGGTTTTGCAACAAAATCTGACGTGTTGCTGTACAAGATCACGCTCGCAGACACTTTCAATCCAATGGAAAATTAGTTTTAGCTTTAACATTATTAGTTAGTCTTTTCTGTTCTTACATAATAATATTTATCTGCTTTTCTGTCCTGCGGGCTGTAACAATTGAGCGCTGGTGTTAGAATGTATAAGCCAGATTTAATTTATGATAATTGCTAGAAACGTACCTTATTTAGCTTATGCCTTTGAATTTTGAATTAGTAAAGTGATTAATTCACACTATGTATCGAAATGCTCCACCTAGAAATAAAATATATCTAGATTCTCTGAGCGGACAGAGTCCAATGAAATATTGCGGTATCAATAATAATTATTGAAAATAATGCGTCAATATTGTACCTGTACCGAATAAAGCCACAAATAATAATGTTGTATCAATTCATCTTTGGATTCGACATTACAATTCGTAAATCTGAAATTAAATAATACTGATTGATGTGCCCGAAGGGAGAGCAAACTGCTAAGAACAAGCGTGAAAATTTAATGTATTGAAATGCAAATACAGATGTGGTGGAGTGACGTCAGACAGGTGGAGTGACATCAGAAAATTACATTCGCGACGTTGCATCCCCGTAAACGACGAGTTTGGACTTCCGATTCCATGTAAAATCATTGTGCTACGATTTTTAGGGTTCCGTATCAAATATTAAAATCAATTAAATATAAATGTAGTCAAAATTCTGTCAAACTCCAAAAAATGTTTGTTATAATACAACTTGAAGACGGTGTAGTAAGGGTGAAAACCAACCATGTAAAAGCAAATAAATATTTCTAATTTCTGAAAATAAGTTTGAGAAATCAATCATTTTCTTATTAAATAAAGTGTTTAAGAACACAGAACCTTCAGAAAGGAAAAAAGGCGGAATCATTTTAAAAAAAAAAATTAAGGAGACACGCTAAAATATCCCGGTGAAACTGAAAATTATACTTTTGCAGATCCTATCGGATTTACCTTAAGAATAAAACTCAGACAGTGAAAAAAGTTAAGTGGCCATTTTTAATGAAAATCTCTTCTGAGACGGTATTAAAAACCTTAATTGTGAAAACATTTCGTAATAACAAAGCTATATTTTGTTTCGGTTCTTTTTCAACTTATTTACTGTGAGTTTTGTATGGAAGCCTCTTAATTCAACGTTTCTACTCGCTGCATTTATTGTATTCGTATTGCAGCCAAACAATATTTCAAAAACAATTCACATTCAGTATAAGCTTTTAAGTATTGTAGGTATTCTATTTAACTTGTTGAAGGATTAAGTATTATCAGTTTCAGTATGCTGCAGCATTGAAATGACAATAAAGAGCTTTTAATATTAACCGAATAATGGTAAATATTCAGTTCGTTTTGAAGTTATTATTTCGAAACTATTGCCATTTTAGTGGTGGGACACACGAAAATAGATTCGAATCATGATTCAAATCAAGTCAAGTCAGACTGGCCGACTCGACATCCAGTTCGAAACCCTCCGCCGCTCGACAAATAGTCGAAGTCAGTGAGCCCACTCGTAACACAAGCATAATAAATTGGCTTAGTGCTAGGGGTTAACGGGACTATTATTAAATACAAATTATCTACTATAGTAAAGTTCTTTAAAAAGTCTTACTAAAATTTAATCTATGCTTGAGATTAAATCGAGATGAGAGATTATAATATTGACTTAGCATTCTCATTACGGCGCGGACGCTACTACTCGTAGCTCAATGCGATGACATTAATTTTACATTTATAAAAACATCGCTAATCAAAATTTACTTTAGTTTTGTGAAATTTTAATAACAAACTGAATTCCTAAACCCTTTTAGTATCTTTAAATATAAGTAGTATTCTGGTTCTCTCAATCTGCTGTCAATTTGCATTTACCTATAAATTCGCAAAACAAGATCTACTTTAATTTTAAATCCAAAAACATTTAACGAACTCAGAAACCCTTTTAGTGTCTCTAAATAGTTGGAATTATTGCGAAAGTGCTGTTTATATTTAGTTTGTTCTAGCACTTTCTAGATATCGCAGAATTTAAGTGGTTCCACTCGTCAAGTGTGACCCAGTTCTGTCAAACTTCAGATCTCTGAATATTCCCGTTTCCGTATATTTTCGAAACTAAGGCCGACTATAAGTGTATCTGTGCCGATGCCCATGGTATTCCCGTTTGGGTCTAACCCAGTTTCGTTTAGCTTTGACCAGTTAGTCTGAAAATGAAAATAATTGACCTGGTATTCAGGGAGGTTTTTACTTTGCGGTATTTGGGATGGGTGTGAAGGAATTTGGGATCGCTCGTTGCTATGGGCAGTGCGATACCCGGACGTTGGCAATAATATTAGAGGTGATAACACCACCATGCCACCAATCAATTGACGTTCTTTTTAAAACTGTCAAAACGACACTCTCCCATAGATTTTGTATGGCAATACAAGCAAGTGACGTCATTTTGTCAACTCAATTAAACTATTTTTTTCAATTTAATTCAATATACATACTAAGTTGTGAATTCGAATTATTGGGGAATGGTGTCAAATATTCTATTGGTGACGCTCTTCCTTGTGGAGAGACGTAAGTCAACTGAGCTTCAATTTTAGATTGAACTAGCTTTTCGCCTGCGGCTTCGCCCGCGTGGAATTTCGTTTGTTAAATTTTCCTGAATTTTCTTTGCTATAAACCTCACGGAGCTCGAGACCTTTCCAACGAATGCAAAACCGTGGAAATCGGTTCGTGCGTTCTGAAGTTATAGCGTCAGGAAGGAAAACCCGACTTATTTTTATTGTATAGTAGATAATTTCCTTGATTTGGATGGTATCTATTTGGGGAATTTGGGAAGCTAGCGTAGTATTTGAAGTTGTTTGCTGTGTCAGTAACAGCGTGTTTGAACTAGACAGGAGCACTTGACATCAGCAGGTGCCGCAATTTTGAAGTAAAATCATGTTATTTTCAACAGTGAGTTTATGTAATATGATTTTACAATTTGATAAGTAAATTCTACATTTACATAGATCGTTTGTTTCTAAAGTCCGTAATGTGTAACATACATGCAACGTATCGATTTCTCATTAATGAAATTTAATTAAACCACATCATGCCGTTGAGAAGTTTGTATAAGAAAAATAAGTCTAGCGTGTATTTTATGGAATGTGCGCTGATTTATTTAGTTTTTCGCTAATCGACCGAAGTTTATAAAATAAACCAAACGAAACTAATCAGGCATACCTAAGTGTACCAATAATTTCACAGAATGAAATTGATTATACAAATAGATAATTGTGAATAACACAGATGTTAACGTTTTTATTTGACATGAAAATAACATAATTACATAATGTCCCAAATCGCTGTCCAAACAGATAAGTAATTAATATGTTTTGTGTATGATTAACAGAATATACAGATAATATAGATTATTGAGTAGGAAAAAGATATCAGAGTCAATTAGTGTCATATTCTGAGTATTTCTGAGATATTCCAGGCTTCCAGGAAACTATAATTGCCATTTTGATGGGTGGGGTCGGGTGCTAGCAATTGATAGTTTATTATACGCTGAGCATTAGATATTTCAGGGTGTTTCGCGGAACTAATCTAATCCAGAGAAATCACACCAAATAATATTATTTGCAACGGATATTGATATTGTTTATCGTTATAAGGATTTGTGTTTGCGTTTCAAACGGTTTGGTATCAAGTTGAAATTGAAATAATTAGTTCTCGATTCTGAAAATACTGACCTAACAATGGAATGGAACAAAACTACTGACCTCAAATGATGGTAATATGGTGTGAAAGTGTATCATTTACCAAAAAGCGTCAAGATGAAGGAGGTGCTGACGTAGGCCAAGAGAACGATGCTGAGGCTCAGGACGATGGACAGAGAGAGCTAATAAAGTCATCAGTAGACGCCAATGTTAATTTTTCAGATACTTTTATACGTCAGATAACTCGAAGCGTCTAAACGCTTCTAGAAGTTGCCTGCCAAACCATTGGTGAGAAAGATGATGATGAGAAAGTTGCAGCACTTACGTAGACGAGTAGAGACGTAGACCAGTAGGATGATACCGAGGCAAAGCACGATGTCTAGCGGGATGGACCGCTTGGGGTTGTAGGCCTCCTCGCCCGTGGTCATGATGACGACATAAACAAGTGTCAAGATGTAGGCTAGGAGGATGATGCCGAGGCTCAGCACGATTGCGAGTGGGATGGACCGCTCGGGATTGTTGGACATGATGACGTCATACAAGCGAAAAATAAAGAGGTTGCAGAACTTACCAACAAGCGACAAGATGAAGGAGGTGCTGACGTGTGCCAAGAGGATAATACCGAGGCACAGCACGATGGCCAGCGGGATGGAACGCTTGGGATTGTTGGTCTCCTCGCCGGTGGTCGCAATGACGTCATACAAGCAGACGATAAAGAGGTTGCAAAACTTACCAACAAGCGTCAAGATGAAGGAGGTGCTGACGTAGGCCAGGAGGATGATGCCGAGACTCAGCACAATGGCCAGCGGGATGGACCGCTTGGGATTGTTGGCCTCCTCGCCCTGGTCATGATGACGTCATACAAGCGGACGATAAAGAGGTTGCAGAACTTACCAACAAGCGTCAAGATGAAGGAGGTGCTGACGTAGGCCAAGAGGATGATGCCGAGACTCAGCACAATGGCCAGTGGGATGGACCGCTTGGGATTGTTGGCCTCCTCGCCCTGGTCATGATGACGTCATACAAGCGGACGATAAAGAGGTTGCAGAACTTACCAACAAGTGTCAAGATGAAGGAGGTGCTGACGTAGGCCAAGAGGATGATGCCGAGACTCAGCACGATGGCCAGTGGGATGGAGCGCTTGGGGTTGTTGGCCTCCTCGCCGGTGGTCGCGATGATGTCGAAACCAATGAAGGCGTAGAAACAGGTCGCGGCGCCGCTGAACACCTGCGACAAGAGAAACAAATGAATATTTGCCGAAGTACATCGTAATAACCAAGAGACAATTAGCTTAGCCAGCTAGATTACGATATTATAAAGTTAAAGTTTAGAGTAAATGAAAGGACTCTCCGTTTATCTTCAGTTAAACATCACATTCTGATAAGAAGTGCCTTTTTATGCATGCTCTAATGATGCTGACTATTTTTATTAATACTTATTTTATGTTTTGCTTCTATCACCCATTACATCTAACGCAATGACATAAAATGAGATCTACTATTTCGTATTTTCTAAAAATGAAGTTCATACAGTCGGGCAATAGATTTGGACGAGTCTAGCACTTTGTGAAAGGGTTAGTGGCTTTTGGTATAGGTACCCCACGATTACAAAAAGATTTTCCATTCCGTATATACCTGAAGAGTAAATATCCAAGCAAGCAAAAACCAGGTACTTATTGAAATAAAAGTCAAAGGCCAGCCTGAGCAATATAACTGACATGGCAGTGGGTAAACATCAAAGCCGTGTGTTGAGCGGCAGCCCATGACAAATTAGTGCTGGTACGATACGTCATCAAAGTCGATCGGGGCCGATTCCAATAACGTAGTGCCAAATAAAAACACTGTGTATATTCGAGTTCTTTGTAAAAAAGTTATTTTCATTTTGATGTTCATAGACTTTATTTGATTTAGCTTGATTAAAATGCTCTAAAACTCTATTAACTACTTTAAAAGTTGGCTTGAACTTAAAGAAGAAAATTGTACGATTTAATTTCAAACAAAAGAAGACAAAACTTTTTACCATCAAGCGTTTTAAACTTTATAACTTTTTTCCACGAAGCAAGCAATATCAATCATCGTTTCGGATCTTCGAAAGTATTCGAATATTCACCTAGCAGCGCCAATTAAGGTTAACTGGATTTGTAGCGATGGCAAAAAGTCGGTTATCTAATAAACTCCAGTTGATCCATGTAACGCGAGTTACTGTAATCCAATCAAGTCCTGCATTCGATTCAGAACAATCGCTGCAAAACAAATCGACTTAACGGTAGTAGCCCGTGATGCATATCTTATTTCTTAAAGGTTACTAAGGCTGGTTGCACCATCTTACTTTAACTGTTTGTCAAACCAAAAACACTGGATAACGTTATAGTTACGGTTAAAGTTAGGTGGTGCAACTCAGCCTAAACCTTTGTTTGTCACCAGTCATCTGCTTTGCAATGAGTGAAAGTCGAACCCCAACTTCGAACTCGTCCTATGTTCTTCTGATGAGTTTCGTTGCGGGTCCAATGACAGTTTAACTTTCCACCGGGACAAACTTGACCTTCACTGGTTTTGTTTATAATGGCGGTCAAACTGTCGATCCTGGCTACACAGGAGTTGCAGCGATGGGAACGAGAGGTGGGAATAGTCCCAAGTACATCAGACTACACATTTTTGTTGCAATATAAACACCCTTTTACAACTACATAGTGCCTTCTTCAACTTGAAATTCCGTCGTATATATTTACATCTTTTTCTAATGACATCACTGTCTAAATGTTATTTAGAGTCTGCACCTCTACAGCGAATTTCCTCACGTAAAACGTGTAATTTAGCTCTAACACGTTTATGTACTTGGTATATCTAAAGTCTAAAGACAACTACGGCTCATCTGGTGCCATGATAGTTAATCTTCTGGATAATGTTGAAGCTATGAAACTCTCCCTTCCTTGTATAATGGGGCACGGTTTAGGAAGCTGGTATTAAGTGACTGGCAAATATGTATTGGAAATTTGAGCTATGATCATCACCGTCAGGACATTTACGATCTACTACAAGAGTACATTTATGATTGTGAAAAATATTATTCGATTTCCGTGCTTTTAAGCGATTTTGTGAAAAATATTAAGTATTGGCCTTTGTTTGTAACCGGTCATCCGCTTTGCAATGAAGGGAAGTCGAACCCTAACTTCGAACTCCTCCTATGTTCTTTTGATTAATTTCTTTGCGGGTCTAATTAGAGTTTCACTTTCCCCCGGGACAAACTTGACCTTCATTGGTTGGGTTTTTATTGGCGGTCAAGCTGTAGATCCTGGTTACACAATAGTTGCAGCGGTGGTCTCGTTCCCACCGCACACTGGGAATATTCCCGTAGTATTTACCAAAGGCAAATAAAGGATTTAGCCTACACTTCCCAAGGTTCTCACACGTATTGTGTAAGATTTATCTATCGCTACAGAATGGTAACTCTAAACTTCGAAGTAGGAGGAAAATACCTTTCTTTTTCTCTTTCCCAACAAAACAAAGTCTAAAATTGAATTTTCCCGATTGATTGAGTCCGATATAGAATAAGGTTATGCCTGTAACAAGAGTAGCCTTAATCAAATCTGCATTCGAGTCGATAGTTCAGAACAGTCGCTGCAAAAATCAAACAGATTCCGCTGTAGATACATTTTCATTTTGCGATGTAGCCAGTACTGGAAAATATTTGATTGAAAACGAGTGTTTGCAAAAACATTCTGTCTATTTCCGATACGGTAAAGTTTAACACCTTCGCTGCCAGCCTAAAAATGGCACTGTTCCGTTCGGGCCATGGGGGACAATGATGGGCGACACTTTAACTTTCCGTTCGGGCCGCGTCGGACAATGATGACCGCGAGTCAGACCTATGTTTAAACCTCTGTATTGAGCCGATGGACAGCATTTCTTCAATAATTCTCATATAAGCTGACCCGCGTGGCTCCCAAGATTAGTGTACGTCACTTGGTTCTCAGGTAAAGCTCGGACTTAGAAAAAAAAATGTGGATAACGGTAGCGCAATGAAACATGGTAATTATACAATTTTTATACGAATTATTGATAAATTCAATTTTTTAAATAAAATTTAAACCTTTTTTAATTAAAACAATTTGAAAAAAATCACTTTTAGCGTTCCTTTTACGGTATCATCGATTTATTTATTATTATTTTTAATCACTATTTAAGACTTATCCTGCTAGTTTCGTTTCTCATTTTATACCTTATAATATTCCTATTTATGCGTAATATAATATATCAAAAACCTACCAATGTACAACTCTTTATTTTTTTGGTTGTTCTCCTTTTTTTTTTTGGATGCGAGCGGGGATGGTCGACAACATGACCGCGCGGCCCTACGGAACGGATTTTCGAATTTTCGCTCGCTGGGGCCATGGGGGTCAATGATGTCCGACGCTTAATAATTCGATGTAAAGACTCAAAAACAACTATATGTTAATAAAATCCTTTATTTATGTTTATAAAGTAACGATTTAACAAAAAAAAACAATCGACGAAAATTGAAAAAAATTGAAATTTTTACTTGGCCTGGTAGGAAAGTGCAGTGTCGGACAACATTGACCGCGTTGGCGTTCAATGTGTTAACTCGAAATTGTCAGGAGTTTAAAAGATAATATACTCTTCATTTTCTATTTTTTTCAAGCACATAGTGATGAAGGAAATGAGCTTCCATTACCAAGAAACAACATTTTTTTCCTATAAACAAATGATATTATGTTTTTATATGGTAAATGTTTAAGATGAATTATTTAATTATTTCGTGAAAACTATTATTTGCTCATAACAGCATGACCACTCAACGAAAGTAAACTTAACAAAGAGGAACAATATAAAATGACAGAGACAATAAGCTAAAAGGTGCCAAGGTCTCCGGTCAGTACAAAGTGACGGGAAAGAGCGCGTCACGGCCACCGGTATTCTAGGGATGCCAACAGAGCAGCTCTTAGGTTCGTATTTCAAAACAGCGCTGAAAACTCGATTCAAATTCAGTCATATGGCTCATTTACACTGCGCGGAAATTAGCCGAGTCAAGTAAAAAAAACAGTGGGGTGGGCATGAAAAATAAATGAATTATGAATCCACCCCACTGTTTTTTTGACTTGACTTGGCTAATATCCGCGCAGTGTAAAAGAGCCTATAGATTTTGAGTTTGGTATTTTAATTCAACCAATAAAACACAAACACTACTTGAGGCTGAGTTGAACCTTCTTATTTTAACCGTAACATTGACAATAACCGGTGTTTTTTGTATGAAGTTTGACAGATTTTTGACGTTTGTCAAAATTAAAATAAGATTGTGCAACTCAGCAATCTATGATTGAATAGTTTTTAAGCTTTGTTATGCAACTGCACTTCGAAACGACGCGACGCTTCTACAAGAAAACCATTTTTCTTGTTAAAAAGCTACTGTTAGCATCAAATAAGTTCAAATAATTTAAGTCCGTGATTTAGGCTTGGTCATCATAGTTTAATGACAAACTCCATACCAAAAACACCGGTTATCGTTATAGTTACAGTCAAAGTTAGGTGGTGCAACTCAGCCTTAGAGATACGAGTATAATGACAATCCGGGAGTTAACGCCAGAGTAGCGCGCATCATCATTACCTTTGCACACGTCTTGTTATTAGGTACGTCTTAAGTTCTTGTTTCAAAATAACTATTAATAAGAATTAAAAGTGCAAGTTAAGTATCCAAAGTTTTAATACTTTTAACAGTACCTACGGAACCTTAAAAACTAGATCTCTTCTTTTTGCAATACAAAAGAATCAAACCACAGTCGTTGCTTTATTGAAACTTTGAAAATTAATAATGCTTTCCCTCGGTGACCCGGTTCTCATTATTGCAAGAAAACAGAGGTCCAAAGCATCTGTAACTAGGGCACTCGAGTTTTCTTTAAAATTTTCTTTCTTGTAAAAGCATACAGTCAACCGCAATATAAATGCAACTATTGCAAAGTTTGTGTGCACAAACCGATATTAAGAAAAAATCGGATAACTTCAGCTTTTAAGCATGATTATTAAATAAGATTTTAGCAAAGGATAACATTAGCTGCAGCATAAGATAGTAATAAACATTACGAAATAGTACATTGTATATTATTTTACTCCGATAAAAGTAAAGAGCTAAACACTTTTTATTAGTCAACCGCAATATAAATGCAACTATTGCAAAGTTTGTGTGCACAAACCGATATTAAGAAAAAATCGGATAACTTCAGCTTTTAAGCATGATTATTAAATAAGATTTTAGCAAAGGATAACATTAGCTGCAGCATAAGATAGTAATAAACATTACGAAATAGTACATTGTATATTATTTTACTCCGATAAAAGTAAAGAGCTAAACACTTTTTATTTTAAATATTTTTTAGGTCAAAGCAAAATCTATTTTGTACAAAATAGAAATAGGTACTATTTGTAGTGAACTCAATACTTGTATTAAAACTAATTGATATACAGTGTGAGTCACGTTAAAGTGTACATATGAAAATAGATGAAACTAGACCTATTTTTATCGACAAAAAAGAGGTTAAAAAATTTTTGAGATTTTTTTTAAATTTTTTATAGATTTTTTTTTTCTACCAATTACTTATTGTAAAGAAAACGTACTAACTTTTAAACTAAGCGGTATATCCTGATAAAATAAAAACAGTAATAATGCTAAATAACAGGAAATAGTAAAAAAATACATAAAATACACAAAAAGTGCCAAAAAATAATAAAAAATGATACTTTTTGAAAAAAATCTGCTTAAAAATTCGTGTTTTTTTGGTTATTTGATAAATTTCTCCAAAAAATGCCCCTATAACAGGTGGTTTTTATTGTTTTGTATCATTTTCTATCGTATTACCTTTGTAAAACCAAAAATCGCATGTCTCTATCCCTATCACAACATTTGCTATGATCGTTTGAACTAAGCCTCTCCGGGCGCGCCATTCAACGCTTCGTTAACAACGAAACTGAAAATGGCTCTAGATTTGTAATTTTGATAAAGACAAGTTAGATTTCAAGTAAAAACAAAAGATTTCGAAGTAAAATAAGCATTTTAGTTAAAATTAAAATTGTCCCTACCTGTAGAGGAGAATAATGTTGTGATAGGCCTTTGTTCAAACTATCATAGCAAATGTTGTGATAGGGATAGAGACATGCAATTTTTGGTTTTACAAAGGTAATGCGATAGAAAATAATACAAAACAATAAAAACCACCTGTTATAGGGGCATTTTTTGGAGAAATTTATCAAATAACCAAAAAAACACGAATTTTTAAGCAGATTTTTTTCAAAAAGTATCATTTTTTATTATTTTTTGGCACTTTTTGTGTATTTTATGTATTTTTTTACTATTGCCTGTTATTAAGCATTATTACTGTTTTTACTTTATCAGGATATACCGCTTAGTTTAAAAGTTATTACGTTTTCTTTACAATAAGTAATTGGAAGACAAAAAATTCTATAAAAAATTTAAAAAAAATCTCAAAAATTTTTTGACCTCTTTTTTGTCGATAAAAATAGGTCTAGTTTCATCTATTTTCATATGTACACTTTAACGTGACTCACACTGTATGTTACAAGTTAAATAAAAAAGGTTAAAAGTTAAATAAAAAACCACCAAACATTTTTCTGTTCATTTTAGTGATATCCGTATTTAAACTTAGACCGTAAAGTATAAAGTGGCAAGTCTGATAAAGACAGTGTATGTAATATCCGATAAGTCAATAACGGCGTCGAGTGATTGGGCAATTTAATTTTGCGTCGAACTATACTCAAAATTCGCGCTCGTAGGAGCACTTGAAATATTTCAGCAAGGCTGGCCACCGGTAATGAAATTTTTAACAACTTTACTTTTAAAGTTTACTTTGTTAAACGTTAATGTTTCTTTCAGAAGATTTAACGAGCGTCAACGTTAATTATTATTAATAGATGTAATTTATAATTGTAAAATAATGCATGAAATTAAACATGCATGCTTGCATTTCAGCCAATAACTGAATGCAGCATTTACACCAAAATAGCAATTAAAACGATCTAATATGTAGGTACTTACTCTGTTTCACAAAGAGTTTAGTATTGTTCGAGTTTAGTTTCAATTTGTGTTGCATGAAAGAGCCAACAGTACAGTACAAAGGAGGCATTTCCAATTCGATTTATTTCAATTCAATTCAAACGTTTCACGTTCCTTGTGGTTTACAAACAAACTGAAATACTTTAGATATTGGAGTATTAGACTAGATCTTTTGTTAGGACAGGAGCGATACCGGCTCGCCACTGCATACTTGCATTTTAATAATATATGCTGTAGAAACAACTTTATATTTACAGGGCAGGACAGGGGGGACAAAGGCTTCCTCCAAGGATATCCACAAAGACCGGTCCTGCGCCGCTCGCATCCAGGCACCTCCCGCGACCTTTACCAAATCGTCGGTCCACCTCGTGGGAGGCCTGCCCACGCTAACGTCTTTCGTCTCGTGGTCGCCACTCAAGAACTTTCCTGCCCCAGCGGCCATCAGCTCTACGAGCAATGTACCCCGCCCACTGCCACTTAATTTTAGCGATTCTGCGGGCTCAGTCACTTTGGTTCTCCTACGGATCTCCTCATTTCTGATCAATCACGCAGGGAATTTAAGCAAAGAGTGTAATGACGACTTACCCCACTCCATCCATACGGCAAGAATCCTTTCTTCATCCAGTTCTTAGGTTCGATGTAGAAGGCCCCAGCCGTGACGATGAACACCCAGACGCTCAAGTTGATGGCGTTCAGCACATTGGTGAAGAAGATCGACTTCCTCACGCCAGCGACGAGCACCATCATCATCATCAGGGTGATAGCGAACGCGATGAAGTCCGGAGGCTTGCCTGTGGACAAAAAAAAACGAACTTAGTACTAGTACTACCTCTTAGTTAATAGTACCTACCACAAAGAGTAGCTTAGTGTAAGTAATATAAAATTTTAGTAAATTGTTTCATTATAATGTGTAAATTCTTCTCAAAATGGCTTTGGCTGAGTAAAAACGGGTTTTCATACTTGGTTGGATATCTGGGTCGCACAGGTCACTACATGGCCCGAATTAACTAAAAACTAGTTGATAACAAAGCTATGCAGCACAGCGGTGTCACTAACTATCGGTGACTAATTTCAGATTTCAATTCAAAATGAGTTTTCTTGTTAACCATAACCATAATCCATTTGTTGTTGTTATGTTAAATTATTACCTACACAGAACGCCACAAACTGTTTGCAGCATCATACCAGCAAAATTAACGTTGTCAGTCAATTTGGCTGTGATCTGGGCCAAATATCTATGATGCAGGTGTGTCGTGTCAGCGTGATTAATATGCCAATATTGCGGCCGAGTGGAGCTGTGTTGTACAACTGCTCGAAATACAGTATTGATGGAGTGTGTGTTCCTGGCAGTTTCACCTGAGCTGCAGAGATATTTAGAATTTGCTTTACGTAAAATATTTAATTCGTATTTTGTTATTGTTCATCAATTTTCGTTATGGCATGACTTGTTTAATTTTTTGAGATCTTCAGACAAAAACCGCATTTACAACTTTCTTATTTCAATTTTATAAGAACAAAAAGTAGACGTTGTCAGTTACTCCTTAAGCTTTCTGCATTTTAACTACGTACTGCAGTCTTGTTGGACACTTAAACAATAATTTAACTGGAGTCCACTTTGATCACCCAAGGCATCGTATCCGTGGGTGATCAAAGGACACTAAATTGTCGCTGGAGGTTCACTTTGATCACGTAGGTGATCAAAGCCAGGTGATCAAAGTGGAATAGACCGTAATTCTTAGACCAGTAATTTTGACACTGAACCAGCATCTTGGCTTTAAGAGCTACGGATCCACAGCCGAAGTTGTGGCTCGGGCCTTGAGCTATTTATACTCGTAATGGAACTCTTCGATGGCATTGCTTTTGACAGATCCTAATTGTACGCGATTTGTTTGACGAGTCGCTTATGTTGACTGGCAAATATTTTCTAGCGACATAATTTAGTTAAGTGTTAATCGGATTAGTTAGTTATAAGGCACAACAATTATATTATGTAGTTATAAAGAATAGTTGCGCTGGTAAGTTTTATAAAATAAAAGTTAAGACCCCTTTTAAAATATCCAACAGCGGACAATCAGTTTTATTTAAGATGGAGCGAATGGAAGAGCTTTAGGGTAGGCTTCAGTCTTTTGTTTTATTTATTTTTTCATCAAGAGATCATCATCATCCTACTCGTATTTATTTCTATTAAGGCATATATTCATTATTTTTAATTATACTTTGACGAAATGGGTATGATGGTAGAGAGCGCGTTTGCCACTAGTATAAACCAATTAACTCACATTATTTTCATAGTCATATCATAACTTCGTGACATTGCATTATTTATTGTTATTATTCCTTACTAGTCGAGGCTCACTATTCAGAGATATTATACTATACCCAATGCATTTTACATCAGCATTTTCACGGTTGAAGCCATTGAAGTTTATTCATCCATATTTCACACGCTGTCGACTTAGCCTAGATTGTTAGATTGTTGTGGAAGGTTGCACCGAGTTCTATCACCAACTCCAAGTATTCCTGTTGACCATTGAAAAGACAATGCCGGAAATTGGCGTCGTTTTTTTTGCTCGCGGCCATCGACCAAACCTTGTTATTTTATTACAAAATAGTGTAATAAACCAAACTTACTATTAGATTTAACCTCTAAACTCAGTCTGAACTGAGTTACGAGCATTAGAAGTTTGATGATTTTACATACTAGATTTGCCTTTTGCGCGCAAGTTTTGTAAGAAATTGCAACAAAATAGTGACATTGTATGTGTAAACAAACAACACCATACATTTATAGGCTCCAGCCATAAGTGTTGAGCAGAATCAGTGCGAAAAAAAAAAGGCGCCACCTTCCATACAAAATCTGGCATTGCCATTTGAAATATTTCTGCATTTCGTATATCCAATACTTTAGATAGGTGTCGAATAGTAATAATCCAAGAATTTATAGGTATTTATTAACTGACGACATCATAAAGGTAGCAGGAAGGTGCTGGACGCAGGCCGCTACCAACCGGGCAGCATGGAAAGCATTGGGGGAGGCCTATGTTCAACAGTGGACGTCGATGAGAATGATGATGAGGTACGTATTTATTAGTATTTGGAGAAAGTACTTAGTAATGACGTCTTCACTAACATTGCATGCTGAACGAGTTGCTAATAAACTTTTCAGTTCATAAAGAGCTCTGTATAATGGCGTCAAATTAAAAACCTAACTAATATAAGTTTTCACCGACCGAATGTAATCCGATCGAAACCTTTGCTAGTGTCAAGCTTGATATATGAACGTTACGTATCGACTCATTGATCCAGGTGATGGATGTACCGCCAAATCTGCCTGCATAACGCCTAACCTAACGTAATCCGTAATATGGTCCGGTATCCTATTTTTTCGGGTGATAACATCTAGGTACACACACAAGTCTTTTGCAGACAAAATTATACAGGTGTAATAATAAACATTTGTACACTGCTCAAATATCTTGGGAAAGCAAAAGAAATCTTAAACTAATTATACAACTCTGGCTCATTCACAAACGTCAGCAGAGGCAGAATTCCAGGCAGTTGAGTGTTTGCACAGAGGTCCACAAACTAAAGTGACTGGGGCAAAGTCCTAGTGCTGCCGTACAAGAGTTTATGAATGGCCATCGGTTCAAACTTCCCCGAAGCCCCGAAGTCAAGATGCACCGTTTGTTCTCAGAATCGTTAACGTTGAAGTTAACGTTGGTCTTTTTACATCATTCGGTCATTGGTTTAAACTCTACGCCATTTAAATAAAGCATCTTTTATAAACGGTTTATTAAAGGAACAAACTAAAATGTGTGATAAAATGTAACTTATTTGTTAGAATTTACTCAATCAGTCAATCGATTAGTTGATGTCACTAAAATGTTCTTTCAAGCAGCAAAATTGGTTGCATGCATGGATGACCCCATTATCATACGTTAATGACAGGTAAATACTAAAATAGACAAGTCACTACTCTCAGTACGTAGTTATTTATAGTGTTTAAGTAGGTAAGTATAGCCATCAACAGAATATGTGACATAATTATGTATTTTGTTGCGACGTCGCGCCTCTATAAAAAATATAAGATCTGTAGTTAGCTTGCCGTCCCCGTACTTTAATAATGTCCTTCGTTCACTACTTAAGATAAATATTTGAAATGAAAAAACATTGTTAAAACATTCAATAACTTATTTACAGTTCAAGATGATTGCCTTTCTCAACTTCTCAAAGTTAAATCGCAATAGTTCAAATTGTTACTAACCAAACTATGGACTGCTTTTGTCTGAAAATAAATGATTTTTATTTTTATTTTATTTTATTTTTATTTTTTTAATAAACCTGTCTCAACATTCTGAATCGATTTCAAAAAGTTCTATAGTAAAAAAGCGGCCAAGTGCGAGTCGGAGTCACCCATGAAGGGTTCCATAGCAGCAAGTGACATAAATGTTTACGATTTATTACGTATTAAAAAAACATCCACTTACCAAGTTTCAACTGTATAGCTCTTATAATTTCGGAAAAAAACTACTGTGACAGACAGACAAGACGAATCCATAGGGTTCCGTTTTTTGCCATTCGACTACGGAACCCTAAAAAAATACATCAATACAAAATACATCGATACAAAAAAAACCGCTGGGGGTTTCAAGCGTTGCTGTTCTTATTCGAGTGGATTGAAACCAAAATCAAATCTAGGCGACCTGAATTGGAACTGCGGTTGACAGCACGCGTAATAATTGCTTTACAACATAATTAGTGACCGCAGTAAGCAATTTAGGTACATAATACATGGTAATGAGTGGCGTGACGTTGGTCTAGGACAGTCTAGGTAATTAAGTTAAATTTCCCTCTTAATTTCAGTTAATTTTAAAAATATAGGTCTTAAAACACAATAGAAACTCTATTTTAGCATCATATTTAAAATACTGGACTAAATCCTACCATTTGTTAATAATTATCATTTGTTCATATTGAGTTTGCAAATTATTTAAATCATAAATAATACTTACTCATCATAACACACGTGAGTCTAAAACTATTAGATAAGTACATGCAGATATTATATCTGTAAAAATAATGTCATTTTCTTTTTAAAATCTTAGGCAGTAATTTCTAATTTTAATTTCTAACATTCCACCGCTTAACTTTAATTAAAAGGTTCAAATTTAATTGCAGCGTCTAGAACAATGATGGCAGTTTAGTAGAAATTCTTATTATGCTAGACTTGACCTCCTTCCGAACAATGGTACCCGCAGTACGCCGCTACGTACTCATATAAATTGGGGTTGCCATAAATTCTCCGCGATCATTATTTAAAGCAAATAAACAAGATTATTTCAAAGGATTCTAGTTCCAGCCAAAATAGTGGCAATGCTTTTGAACCGAATACAGTCGCCCGCTTGTACATTTCAGCCACAATATAGCACCTTATGGCCACTACATTAGGATGCTAGTGTAAAGCTTGATTTGCCGTCGTCAATTTAATGGTTTTGGGGCATGGAAAGGATTTCCGTGTAACGCGCGCGTGCCAATTAAAATGGGCAATTTAGAGCAGGTTTTTTGATAAACCGATTCTTTTGACCCGATGAAATGAAAATGGCATTTGCAGTTTTTTGCAAAACTGAAAATCTCGCTCAAATGCTGTTTCACTTTTATTTACATTTGCCCTCAAAATAGACAGCTATTTAAGTAAGTACACACTCAAGTATTTTTTTAATGTAGAGCAATCTCATTTAATGTTAAGTGAGATGCAGTCTAGGGTCAAAGTCAAAGTCAAAACCTTTATTTG